CAGTTCAAGCAGTAGTTACATTGCAAGCAATAATGACAGTCCGAGCAGTATTAACAGTCTGAGCAGTAATGACATTCCGAGCAGTAATTACATTTCAAGCAGTAGTGACTGTCCGAACAGTAGTGACGTTTCAATCAGGAGTCAGTCTCAGCAGCTGTGAGTTTCAGCAGTGTGACATTTCAAGCAGTGGTGATTGTCCGAGGAGTGGTGACAGTAGCAAGCGGTAGTGACATTTCGAGCAAGGTGACATTTCGAGCAGTAGTGACATTTCGAGCAGCAGTCGAGCAGTAGTGAAGTTCGAGCAGTAGTGACATTTCAAGCAGTGGTGACAGTCCAAGCTTTAGTGACATTTCAAGCAGTGGTGACAGACCAAGAAGTAGTGACATTTCAAGCAGTAGATACATTTCAAGCAGTTGTGACAATCCGAGCAGTAGCGACAGTTCGAGCAATAGTGACATTTCAAGCAGTTGTGACAGTTCAAGCAGTAGTGATAGTCTGAGTAATATTGGCAGTTCGAGCAATAGTGACAGTACTAGTAGTAGTGACAGTTTAAGCAGTAGTGAATGTTCAAGCAGTAGTGACAGTCCGAGCAGTAGTGACAGTTCAAGCAGTAGTGACAGTCCAAGCAGTAGTGACAGTCCGAGGAGTAATGACATTTCAAGACAGTCTGAGCAGTAGTGACAGTCTGAGGACCAATGACAGTCCGAGGAGTAGTGACCGTTCAAAGACTAGTGACATTTCAAGCAGTGGTGACAGTCCAAGCAGTAGTGACTATTCAAGCAGTAGTGACAGTTCGAGCAGTAGTGACAGTCTGAGCACTGGTGCTCAGACTGTCACTAGTGACATTTCAAGCAGTAGTGACAGTCCAAGTAGTGGTGACATATCAAGCAGTGGTAACAGTCCAAGCAGTACTGACAATTCAAGCATTAGTGACAAATCAAGCAGTAGTGACATTTTAGGAAGTAGTTACAGTTTGAACAGTAGTGACATTTTAGGAAGTAGTGACAGTTTGAACAGTAGTGACAGTCAGAGCAGTAGTGACAGTTCGAGCACTAGTGACATTTCAAGCAGTTGTGACAGTCCAAGCAGTAGTGATAATTCAAGAAGTAGTGACAGTTGAGTAGTAGTGTCAGTTCAAGCAGTAGTCACAGTTCGAGCAATAGTGACAGTTCAAGCAGTAGTTACATTGCAAGCAATAATGACAGTCTGAGCAGTAGTGACATTCTGAGCAGTAATTACATTTCAAGCAGTAGTGACCGTCCGAACAGTAGTGACATTTCAATTACGAGTCAGTCTCAGCAGCTGTGAGTTTAAGCAGTAGTGACATTTCAAGCAGTGGTGATTGTCTGAGGAGTGGTGACAGTTCAAGTAGTAGTGATATTTCAAGCAGTAGAGACATTTCGAGCAGTAGTGACATTTCGAGCAGTAGTGACATTTCAAGCATTGGTGACAGTCCGAGCAGTTGTGACAGTTTGAGCAGTGGTGACATTTCAAGCAGTTGTGACAGTCCGAGCAGTAATGACAGTTTAAGCAGTAGTGACAGTTTGAGCAGTAGTGACAGTCCGAGCAGTAGTGATAGTTCAAGCAGTAGTGTTAGTTTGAGCAGTAGTGTCATTTCAAGCATTGGTGTATATGTATGTATATATATATATATATATATATATATATATATATATATATATATATAATATATATACATATATTTATTTTATCATCATCCACCTATGGATGAGACTTGTACCTGTGAGGGTCCCACATGTCAAGCCGCCAGGCAGGGACTCGGCCTATCTCAAGTTCCTCACGACAGGTTTGGTCGATCTGCCCAAGCCACAACTTCCTAGGTTATCCTCCACCCAGGGGTGTCTTGAACAGAGACAACCTGGTGGGTAGGATCATCCTGAGGGAAGCGAACCAGGTGGTCGTATAGCCTGAGTTGGCGATCATGGATTGTACAGGAAATAGGTCTCATTGTGCAACTGTTGGTTTGATATGTGGTCCTGCCAACAGTACCCCATAATCTGGAGCAGGGACCTATTACAAAAGGCATCAACCTGACTCAAAGGCACAGGATAATGTCTAGGTTTCACTACCGTATAGCAAAACTGGCATTATCAGGACCTTGAAGACATGTAGTTTGGTCCTTCTGCACAGGTACCGGCCTCTCCAAATACTCTTGTCGAGAGAGTTCATGACCCCTTCTGCCATGCCAATCCGTCTGCTGACTTCTTGGTCTGACAGCCTAGGGTTATGAACTAAACTTCCAAGCTATGTAAAGTCCCCAAAGTCCTGGATCTTGGTCTTGGTCCAGGAGACCTCTACGCTTCATTACTAAATGCATCAAGAGCCACAACTAAGGATTCCAAAGACTCAGATAGAATAGCAATATCATCAGCAAAGTCAAGGTCGGTAACCTTGATATTGCCCAGAGTTGCTCCACAATGACTTTAAACAGTAGCTCTGCCCAGTATCCAGACCATGCAAGTGTTGAAAATTGTTGGTG